TAAACCCTTTATAAAGGGTGTCTTAGCAGAAAGCGGTACCTAAATTTGTTTTAAACTCTGTGTTGCAACAATCAGAGCTCCTAAAGACTCTAATTTGGTGCACATGCGTTCTTTAGTGTCATCTGATCTGTGCATCTCTTGGGATCCCTCACACTGTCCTCACTCTACCCGTGTGGTCCAATAGATAAACTGTCACCTTGTTTGATAAATGAAGGGCAGCAGTCAACATAGGGTCCTTTACCATGACAAGAGAGAAGTACTGAATCTGCAATGCCGTGGATACAGTCAACATAAAACATATCGAATGGCATTCCTCGCCACATTCCTCTCAATATCAAAAGGTGCGTATTTGAGGATATCCTTAGTGCGTTTACGCCTGTGTTTGCGCCCTGACCCACTGGGGCCAGTGCAATAACTTTGGACTCCCTCCCACACTGCATCTCGTTGCAATGACCACTCTCAGTTTTTATTTAGCTGTGTTGTGTGCCTTCCCAGTCCAGACGCTTTTCAGATTCATTTCCAGGTAAACACAGTGTGGCCAGCCACAAACCTGCGGCCAACAGGCGTTGTCACAGCTGTGGCAGATAATGGCAAGTCCAAACTCCAGCCCGGCTCTGGAATGTTTACTGTCACCACAGGCAAGTTGGCAGCAAACATTTTTTCCCCAGCACTTTGTTAGAGGAAGACTCTCTCGTTATTAATTTTATTTTGATGAATTACATGCTTAACCCTTTTGCCCTATTCTCTATTGTGTGACTCGATGCACTCAGAAGGATACAAAAGGACAAAAAAAGGACCGTCCTTAAGTGAATCTTTAAATTTCAGCTGAAAAAAAATCCTTACTTTGAAAGTTGAAACTTAAAGTTAACACATTCCTGCCAACAACTCCTGGGTGTTTGAAGGAATGTTCGAAGAGTTCCGCCTTTCTCACACAGACCAGGGAGCACCCTGTTTCCATCCCCCTGCCCTGCACCCAAGAACTCCCACCCCAGACACCCAACAGCATCTGTACCAGAAAACTATGACTCTGTGGTGTCATGTTAGGGCCTTGCTCATGCAAGTGTTGTGCTTTCGCTTCTTTAACTGACTCATTAAACTTTAATCATTTAGTGTTTGTCCTTGTCATAACCACTGTAGGAATGACACCTTAACGTGTGAAATGTAACACAGATCATCCTGGAGGCTAATTGATCAACAAAATAAAAATAAAAACTAGCCTTGAAAGGGCGAGAGATGTAAGGCACCCCACTGGTCTTGTTACTGGACATGTATGCTCATTGGGAAAATGCCAATTTTGCAAGAACACAGTGTGCTACTTTAGGTTTTCTGACTCATCCTTGGGAGATAAAGTAAATGCAATTCTGTTCTCATGTCTAGTGTATGCACAGGGTTGTGAAAGGATATGCTGGGAATAGAACATTCAACAATAAATACATGTTGCATTAACAATTGTGAAGCATTTAGAGTTGCAATGCGCCAGTGAATGTGCTGAAACTACTTAGACAACAGATTTGTAAGCTTACGTACTAGATTGTAAATATGGTCTGCACCATATTATTCACCTGTTAGCTAATGTTCCCCACACTGAATGAAAAGGGTACCACAAAACATGACCATAATATAATCATGAGATCATTTTATTGCACAACACACCACAATAGCGCTGGAATTCTTATGTGAAGAAACATTTTTGAGAAAAATGATTTCCTGCATATTAAAAGTAAAATGCTGTCTTTTTAAACTACACCATCAATGTTTCCAAAAATGGTGTTATTTTACATTACAGTCATTTGCATTTCATTACATTCAGTTTATATTTGTTTTGGGAGTTAATATTGCATAATTCAGTATCAGCCACCTTGTTGCTTTGGCTGTAATGGAACTGTACAATTTATTGGCATGTCGTAATTGCAATCACAGATGAATGAAAATATATGTATCAACTGATATACCAACTCGTGATGTTCTAGACTTGTGATATCTTTTTTTCTGTTCTTCAATACTTATGGCTGATGATGATTTATTGTACCGACAATCCAAAAAGAAAAGGAGCCATGTTGCAGATCTTTAGCGTATGAGCTATGTCTCTAGATATTGCCCCTTTTAAACCCAGAAAATATTTCCCAGACATTTCCCAAGTTTCTTGCACCCCATTTGAAAAAGTAACCACGGACGTTTTTATCTTGGGTTGACCCCCCTTTGCACCTGTGATGTAATGACACTCAATGAATTAGCACATACGTTACAGCAGAGGATAAATAAGGAATACATCCAAAATGGGGTCATAGAGTGGCCCCATAAGGTCCAGTTGAAGTTTGTGTTTTTGACTAAACCCAAAATGTGACCTTCACCCATGTGAGAGGACTGGGGCAGGTTGATGATTAACTATGGAATTAACAACATGTCTCATTCAGGAACATAATGTCCTGCAGGTCAAGGACCATTTTAGAATACTAAGGATTTGGTGTAACTTGGAATAACTAGCCACATGTAGTGCTCATGTTTCCAAACCAGACTTACTATTGATTTGGTTTGGAACAGGCAAGGCTGGTTTATGTAAATATCCACGAGGAGACTTTTGGTTGGTTTATATGCTAAAAATTAGCCAGCAATTTTTTGACAATGAAAAAACCACATGTGTTTGTGTAACACACAATATATAAACATATATTGTCTTTTCATCACATTTGCAGGTGTAGACAGTTTGGGCTTATTTTTGTGTTCATTTGTGCAGCAGATATGGCTGTAAATCTGACCTGATTTAAATGTTTTATATTTTTAATTATGAACTTATATGCATTGTTAATGAATGCATGTGTACAGATATTTTACAAGAAGACCTACATGCTCAACCCAGTTACACAAGATGCAGCCCTACAAATACACTGTCGAAATATCTGTCCATGAAAATAGATAAATGAATCTCATAAATATATGTTAAATGATTATTTATTTTAACTGATTTATCATTGTGAAAGCATCGTCGTTTTATTAAAAAAAAAAAAGAAGAATAGCCTAAAACGCTTGTGTTGACTGAGTCAAGCCGAGAAAGCGCGGATTTGACCATCTCCAGCTCTCTCCGGTGAAATCCCCAATCCTCAAACACACAGCTTTTTCTCATGATCTCATTTCCAAGTTAAGCAGACTCTGTTAGTCCCTCGTCAACACCACAGGTTTACTCGCCTTTACTAATGGCTCTCTATACTGATAGTTATGCTCTTGCGTAAATATGCAGTCAAATAGATGTACCACCACTGACACGTGGCTGGCACCGGACTGCAGCCTCACCTTGATGTTTGTGTCATACAAATACTGTACAGGCAGCGAGAGTTAAAGGACCTCAACACCCGGGGCCTCCCCCGTCTGATACTGAAACCTTAGACACTAACATCATAACTCCCATTATAAGGGCGTCACAAAAAACGATATGAACAAAAAAATATCAATCTACCTATAACGTTATGCATAGACCTACTCTGAATTGTTATAATTAAGATTCAGGCCTGTACAAACTGTAAATTCAGTTCATCAAATAAAAAGGTGAGTAAATGTGTTTGGGGTTTGATAGTATCCACTGTACTCACGTTTGTTGTTGCTTAAATTATTTTGCACCTATGTAGTGTGGAAAACTCAAGAACAATTGTGCAAATTCTAAAATGTTTCAGTTGACGTTTTATTTGAAAGAATCGGGCTGCTTTATGTGCCACTGACAGCAAAAGCCTAATTGGGAAACTAACCGAGAGAGGGCGCTCTGGAGCTATGCCGGCATATTCAACACTAATTAAAACATTTAGAAACAGTAATTCAGTCATCCAGGTTAGTAAAGCAGGATAAAACCTTGCTTTTTTTCAAATATTAGTGGACTTATTTAGGAAAATTGTACGCACTTTAATACTGACAAATATATAGAAACCATCTGATTTTTATTAGAAAATAAGTGTTAAACACTGTGAGGAAATGGCTTTTAGTTTCACTAACACCAACCCGCTTTTAATGAAAGGAGTTTAGATAATTTCATTGCACCCCAGTAGTGATCGCGTGCACCGCACACCTGCGTTCATGCAGGCCTACTTCAGCCATAAGTTTATTATTCTCTGAAGGATAAGGCTGGCTTATATACATAATGATGTTACTCCTTCAGGTTAATGTGCCTGGATTTATACAGCAACACAACTCTGTAATACACTATAATACAATTATGAATTAATGGTTGCATTTTCCTAAATACATTCCTTTACGCGGGTTTCTACTGATAGATCAAACTTTATATATAATTCATGACCGTTTTCATGTGTTCATAGTGTTGTTGGTGTAAAATAATTAACAGTTATATATGGGCTTAGGTTATAAATTCCTTGAACGCAGCCTATTAAAAATGGATTATGATTTCAGCTCAGTTCAAGTGGAATAAGCACGTTGGAGGATGTGCGTAATGAAAAGCACACCGAGGAAGAGCGCCAAACACTCCTTTTATGGCTCTTTTTGTCAGCCAAAATACAATAAGATTAGTTTGTAATGAAGCTTTTCATAAGAAACTGTTCTTTTCACTCAGCGCAGGTGTACAATTGGGATGAGGGGGAGGGTGGGGGGTTGTGGGGGGGAGCTTGAGGAGTCTCACGCCTAGGTGCGAGGAGATTATTCAAATAGGGCCCAAGGCGTAGAAGTAGGGATTGGAGGCTTGCCTAGAGCACAGAGCTATATCACAGCGTTAACAGGCAGCACGGAGCGTCATTTGAACTCCAGTCACTGACAGACGCATTTCACGGCTGGCTCCATAAGACACACATGCGCCAGTCCTTGACGAAGGGATACACCGACGACCCAAATACACTCAGTGGTCCCCAGTCACCTACTATTAGAGAGACTTTTGGCTTTTCCTCTGCTGGGAGACGCTTTGTAAAAGTCCTCCATGATGCTTGGAGCAGTTAAAATGGAAGGACACGAACACACCGACTGGAGCACCTACTACGGAGAGCCTGAGGTGGGTACCTTAAATATATATTTTTTTCTGTCTAAAGCCGATCCCATTTTATACAACTCAATATTAGCCCTGAGATAATATTAACTTTGTGATCAAATATTGACTTGAGGCGCCTCCAAATCCTCCCCCATCTCCACGCAGCGCACTATCCTAACAAAGTTGCTTGACATGTAGGGGAGGGAAACTTTTCACTCGGATTATAATTTCATATGTCTATACGTATCTTTACTAAATCAGATTATTTGTTTCCACTCGACAAACATCTGAGGTGTTTGATTTTGGGCGGACAGATTCTAATATTTGTGTTGCAGTCGCTATTTTGTGTGTGAGCACAGTCATATTAGGTGTCAATGTTGTCACCCACATTGAACATTTTCAGCGCATTGTTCAACTTAATTTACTTGCCACACCAGTGGCATTAAATGCATTGTTAAACGTATGCAGTGGTGTTTTGAATTTTTAAACTATTTCACGCGGAAGCAAAAGCCCAAATGTCCATTTCAACCTTTACGAGCCGGTGAGCATATACGCTGACAGTTATTTTAATCTGATTTTAAATGAATGCTATCATTCTGATTTCATAAGGCTTAAAGAAAAACTGATCTCTGTGTTTAGTAATTTCTGTTGCTTTTAATTTCTCACTGCAATGCTTGTGCCAGATGAAACTGATGATTGCCTCTTTCCCTCACTGACAGTGTTACACCTCGGTTGGCAACATGAACACGGGCCTGGGAATGAACTCTATGAATACCTACATGAGCATGTCCGGCATGAACACCACTGCCAACATGACGGCCAACTCCATGAACATGTCATACGTCAATACGGGCATGAGTCCCTCCATGACCGGCATGTCACCGGGCACCGGAGCCATGAACGGCATGGGCGCCGGCATGACGGCCATGAGCGCTGCTCTGAGCCCCAGTATGAGTCCCATGACCGCGCAGCCCGCATCTATGAACGCGCTGACATCTTACACCAACATGAACGCCATGAGCCCCATTTACGGACAGTCTAACATCAACAGGTCCAGAGACCCAAAGACCTACCGCAGGAGCTACACGCACGCTAAGCCCCCATATTCTTACATTTCCCTCATCACCATGGCCATCCAGCAGTCTCCCAGCAAGATGCTGACACTGGCCGAGATTTACCAGTGGATAATGGACCTCTTCCCTTTTTACAGACAGAACCAGCAGCGCTGGCAGAACTCCATTCGCCACTCTTTGTCGTTCAATGACTGTTTCCTCAAAGTGCCCAGGTCGCCGGATAAACCAGGGAAAGGCTCCTTTTGGACTCTCCACCCGGACTCCGGGAACATGTTTGAGAACGGCTGCTACCTGAGGAGGCAGAAGCGCTTCAAGTGCGATAAGAAGGCCATGAAGGATTCCGGCCGCAAAGGGGGAGACGGCGGCTCCTCCAACAGCAGCTCGGAGAGCTGCAACGGAAACGAGTCCCCGCACTCCAACCACTCCTCCAGCGACCACAAAAGGTCCCTATCGGACATGAAGACGAGCCAGGCGCTGAGCCCGGAGCACGCTGCCGCCTCCCCGGTGTCACAGGGGCAGCACCTCATGTCTCAGCATCACTCCGTCCTTGCGCACGAAGCGCACCTGAAGCCGGAGCACCACTACTCCTTCAATCACCCCTTCTCCATAAATAACCTCATGTCCTCGGAGCAGCAGCATCACAAAATGGACCTAAAGACTTATGAGCAGGTGATGCATTACTCTGGCTATGGCTCCCCCATGGCCGGGGCTCTTTCCATGGGCTCCATGGCGGGGAAAGCCGGTCTGGATTCTTCATCCATACCTGACACAACTTACTATCAAGGCGTGTATTCCAGGCCAATCATGAACTCCTCATAAACCCTTTACCCCTCAATCCGATGTGGACTTTCTTCCCCTTCGATTTGTACATTTGTAAAAAAAAAAAAAAAATAGAGTTTGTGTACAATATGTATTTCAGATATTTTTGACGTTTCCCACCGTTTTAGTTGTCGAGTTTGTTGGTAGCCTAATTATTTTGAGAGAGGATGTTGATGAAAATACTTAAAAGTAATGATAATGTGATGAGATCTGTTCAGAAGTCGGCTTCAGGAATGGACCCCAAAGACAAACAACTTGCTGTAAAATAGCCTACATCTGCATAACTGGATTCTTAAATGAATTTAAATGCCTCGCAGGATTTCTTCAATCATTTGTGTAATTCCTATTTATGGCTTGTATATGTGTATTCTTGTAGTGACAAGAACAGAATCTATATTAAAGTGTTATTGGTTTTGTTTTCTGAATATCGTGGTGTTTGATCGTTATTATTATTATTAGTATAATGCTAACAGTAGTATAGTGGAGGTAATACGCGTCCCCGCCATTAAATGCAGCAATTGTTTCACTATTAAGGGTGGATTTGCGTTAAATGGAAATAAATGAATACGACAGAATACATCACAACTATATGCAAAAATATTTCACATTAACGAAAAAATACAAATTTCCATGAGCTTACACTAAATACACAATAAATGTTAAAAATGTGTTAAGAGGAAGATCTAACAGAGGACAGCATTTATTTTTCACTTAAATCGAGTTTGGGTATTTACGACATGCATATTAACTTGAACGAATTCCCTATTAGTGTACAAAATGTATTACACAATAAATATATTTTTTTAATTCTCAAAATGATTGTCCATATTTTCCACAGGGATCAGTAGCTTTGTTGGACAATATTGTGCACAATGCTCTCAATTTGTCGGTCAGAAAATGCAAACAAAAAAACATACGCTTATTAATCCCTAACACAAATTGGGATATTTATGGGGGGAAGGAAAGTTTATTCAACACATCAGCCACTTTGACGGAAGTGATGAAGAAGAAACCCCTACACAGAAGCGCAGAAGCATTTTAGACAGAAGGAAGCAGCCAATAAAACACAAACTCTGCTCCAAACAGGCTGCAAATGAAAATGTGTGGTTTCTGCAGACATTTACATCATGCAATCAATTAGATCATGCACAATCGCTAATATGCCCACGCTGTAGAATTTAATCTCCCGAAAATTCAGCTGCTGCATGGTGTGTAGGTAATTATATACATGAATTAAATCAGCCATTTAAATTCCCACACATACAGTGAGGCACATTATGATACAAATCTAGCACTGTCACTCAAACACATGCCTGCCTGCCAGTCAATCAGGCTCACCACTCCCCTTCACACACACACACACACACACACACACACACACACACACACACACACACACACACACACACACACACACGAAGTTTAGATCAGTGAATGAGATTAAGTGTCATTGTCACATAAAAACAGCCTCCTGTGGCGCAGGAGAATAGTTGCTGGAAGAAGGTGCTGATTTGGAAACAGAGCCGCCTGAATGTGATGCTCTAACTTCTTTCCCCTCAATCTGGGGGTTCATTGTCTACTCCCTATTTTTAAAGTAGTTGGACCCTCCCCTCTTGTTAGATAAGATAGGCTAGTTGTCGTCCAAATGAATCCACCCAACCCCTTTGCCTGTCCTTCCCCGTTGAGCTCAAATCCAAGGCCAGGGAGTTTGGGGACATTTCCTTTCTGCTCCCTTTATAACCGAATGACACCCCTTCGCCTTCTGAACACGTAGGGCCTAAAGAGTGCGTTTATTCTCCAGACCCTCTTTACAGATCGCACTTTAAACAGTGTGATCTGCGAATAAACAAAGGCAGTAAACAATAGAGTGGAGGCTATGCCCACATATAGGAAGAGTACACACACAACCAAATTGCACAAGTGTAAACTTTGAATAGGACGCCACAGCTCTGTAAATTTACACAGACATTAAATTTCGTTCAATTCATTTTAGTCATATAATGCTAAGCTGATTTTTTTTATAGCACACTGATCGATATCTCTGTAAAATAATCATTTTTTTAACTAGCGGGGCAGTGAAATCTTTGCTTTGTGCTAAAGTCAACAGTGACAGAGTTTGAGCTCAAATAAATGCCGTGATGTCTGGAGCCCTTTGCAGAAGGCAGTAGGCGAGCTTCTACAATGGGCTCCTGTGTGGCGTGCCAACAACAAGCACCGGCTATTTTGCACAGGTATGAAGCTTTTATTTTCTATAACGTTCTCTCTCTTTTTTAGAAAAAACAACTTTATTCTTTACCAGGAGGCAGAGGTGGTTTGATGGCCGTTCCCGGACATGCATGAGGAGGGGTGGGGGTGGCTGAGGCTGATAACCTGAATTCATGAGAAAGGAGACCTATTGGATTTCACGACAGGGTGGTGCAAAGCTGAGGGGATCCGCAGGTCGTTTGATAGAGATTGCTTTAAGTTTCTGTGTCTGAGTTGCGTGATGGAGATAGATCCTGCTGCACTGCAAAAAAACCCTCTCACTAATAGCTGATTTAGACTCATTGCTGTGGCATTTAAAAAAAAGAGGATGTAATAATTCCACTTGTTTTCAGTGCTTGTGACTTCTAAAAAGAAAATCATCTTACTAAGGCAAACAATAGAACTTAATTCTAGTAAATTCATGTTGAATTTACAGGTGACACTAGCGGAAACCGATGAATCTATAGCGGATCTCTTCGAGTGTTCAGAGAAATATGGACTTAATGGCTTGTTGAGTTGGATATTTTTTGCAGCGTGCGGCTGATTGATATCATTGTTGCTGCGCTGATGTCATGGACACGCGCTTTGCGGCAGCACTGACCCTGCTACTGCTTTTATATTGTACCATATACAAATCCAATATATTTTTTTGCAGGGCATATTTTAATCATTCATTCTCAAGTATGCATACGACTGTATGTGATTGTGATTGTGATGGCAAGCTTTAATTAATTTATCGTAAGTTTTCCTTATTCAGGAATAGAAACTCATTATAGGCTATTTTATACAGGCTATATTTACACCAATGCTCATTAATAATCCTTAAAATGTTCGATGTAATTTATTACTAATAGGCTATATTAAACAAACATAGGTTATCGTACCTATATCAACAACAAAACAACAACAATAATAATAACAACACACCATAGCTATTATTATTATTATTATATAATAATAATAATAATAATAATAATAATAATAATAATAATAATAATAATAATAATAATAATAATAAATAATAGCCTACTCTTGAAATAAGGATGCCCAAATATTTCTGCAATGTTGCCTTTACAAAATTATTTCCAAGAGAATTTGGAGAACTTGTTCCTCTAAATCTTAAGTAGATGGAGAGCCCTCCAAAATGTCCATTAGCCAATATTAAACAATTGTATCCCGACGCGGCTCTCCTCCGATTCTCTGAAAGCGGGATAACCCAAGTCAAGCCCTCTCCAGCGCGCACTGAGATGGGAATGGCCTTTTGGAGCTTTGCCGGTTCAAAGGTACCCAACCTCAATCTGTAGTGGCGGACAAAAGTGCGCCGAGGCCACATCACTGCACCTTTCCCATCTCCTAACTTTGTAAAGGCTTCCCACCAGGGAAGACACCTCTGCAGCTCCACCATAGACCAGAACATCTGTTGTTATAGCAACTGAATAAAGGATGGCCCAGCTTGTTGATCCTTTTTTTTTTTTATCCCGCTAACCTGATTTCTCTGCATTTTCTTGTGGTCGCATTTGCATATTTCTTGATTAAGGCCTGAAAAATCAGACCTTCTTTCTCACCAAGAAACAAAGATTTCAGACGTATCTTTTGCATGCAGTCTGACCCCAGCTGCTGGTTGCTGACGGGAAATATGCAGGTAGCCTTTTAATATCCTAAATAGAATAGAAATATGATAAAGTTCTGTTAAAATATAGGGCGTGCATAAAAACAAGAAATAATCTGATAACAAATGTCAGCTACAGTTCATTTTTTTGGTTAAAACAAACTGTAGGCCTATGTTGTAATCTAACAATAGATTTTGTAATGTCTTTAAATAACCCGAATTGTAGCAGACCTCCAAAGTGAGCGATTTTCCCTAAAGCGATGCATTTTAATGCCTAGGCGAGTTTGGGCCTCTATTTTCATTGAATGACTCAGTTCACTATAAGCTGCGCATGGGCGTCAACTGATCATAGCCTACCGGGCACTACCATTCCCGAGAGCAGTGTTATTCATGAAAGAGTGAAAATTCTTTATTAAAAAAATTAAGAAATAGCCTATTCTATGAAAATTCCCATGGGGGAGCAGCAATCCTCCAGTCGGCCTGTAAAAGTTCTCCAATGATCACTAATTGCTCTGCTCAACATAAAAGTACAGGCTATTAATCGGGTGTCTCGAGTTATTGCATTGAGTCAGTTAGGTAGGGCTATATACAGCAGGGCGTCTGCCGCACCTATAGGCTCCTCGCTGCAGCCCTGCGGACTGGAACACCCAAGTAGATCTGTCTCCATGGCGACGGCGGGACACCGGTCCAACAAGCTGTAATTCTGTCTCAGCCTTTTGCAGGGGAGGCACCGTCCACACTAGCCCGACTTAACTCCTCTTTCACCAGAAATACTCCTAATCCCATATCTTAGCAAGGCAAACTGCCGTCCCTCAGTATATTAAAGGGACCACAAAGTCAAAACTCAAAGCCACACATGGTTTCTCAGCGGGCGGCCCGTCCCGTCCGTCCAGCGATCCTATGTGTCTCGAGTTTTCTCCGCGCTTATTCACAGCCGATGAATACATTTGTTCATTAGTAGGCAATTATTATTTTTCATTTAGGAAAGTGTGTGAAAAAAAAGGAGACAGACGATGAGCCTAAAATATTAGCCTACCAAATAATGATAAGGAAATAATTTAAGGCATGGACGAAATTATTTAATAAAAATTTTTCTGTTGACCTGACTTTATAAATTCATAATTATTTTGTCTTATTAACGTGAAAATAAAGTAAGGGCTAGCAGGTTTTGATAGTAGCCTGGAAAATCAAAATTTAAATTGCAAAGTGAGCTGCAGTTTAACTGAAACAGCACAATGCATTCTTAAACATGTTGTCATATTATAGATGTAAAATACATTTGGTTATGAAGATTAAAAGATAAATACATTTGCATGCATTTGTACAGTGATGATATGATTTCTTTGGCATTTGTAGAGAAAACATTAATTAGAAATACAGTTTAAACTAAACTAAAACTGCACATTCAATAAATATATTAGCTTGTATGGCAATGGAATTCAAACTGATTCTAACTTTGTTCACATAGTTTTATTATATATTTGGGCTTCATACAGGCCTCAGATGACAGCCTAGGTTTAGTTATTTCGCCTAAATCAGCCTAAGTGATATTCAGTGTTTAATAAGGAAAATTGAAACAGATGGAAAAAAAGGTAGCTTTATCAGTGAATAAATTAAACTGCTCCCCTCAGATTCTGAAGCTTGAAATTAACTGTTTGACTGTAATGGCCTTCAAAAAGTGATGTTTGGATGAGTTTCTAAATTTTAAGTTAAAATTGTCAGCATTTAGAAATTATGCATATGTAAATGGTTGGTTAATATTTGTTGTGAAGTGAGGATATATTACATGATCTTCAAGAAAATGTAGAAAAACATCCTTTTGAGATTGTATGGAGAAGTCTGTTCTGCTCTCATTCTGAAATACCCTTCTAGAGTATAAGGGAATTACAAAGGCATACCAAAGATTCATAGCCTACTTTTTAATTATCTTTCACCCTCTACATTCGTATTGATGCAAAAAATTTGACTCTTTCTGCTTTTCTGATTGGACCTTTTTTCTTAAAGAAGAAGTTGATTTTTAATGTTTACTGTTCACTTCTTTTCCTTTTTGAACTGACAAATGTGGCTGTTATTTTGCAAATCTCTAGCTGTGTGGAGGTGAGTCTGGGGTTCTGTTATGATGGAAAGAAGAGGTGTGTGTCTGTGTGTCTGTGTGTTTAGAAAGAGGGAGAGATGGCAGGACGGACAGGGTGAGAATGCGGCCGCTGACTGTGATGTGTCCGGACTCTTCTGACACGACTATGTGACATTCCAGTGTAGGACTCCTTCATGTCCCGAGAGAGAGAGAGAGCGAGAGAGATCCACCAACAATGCCTATTGAGTACTGTGAGGCGGCAGCTGGTGGGACGTGGAGTGACCTAAGGGCGATCTATTCAGGCCAGGATGGGGTGCCTCTTACTACCCTGCTGCTTTCACACGCCTAGAAGTGGCTGGATGGTCAGTGTTTATCCTTGTAAGGTATTGCAGCACAGGTCTGTCATCACGCAAATGGAAGAGAAGTCGGCCCCCACCTTACCAAACCAATCAAGGCTTCTCAAGGCGAACAACTGAAAATCAAGGATGATGGAGATGATGCAAATGTCTGACTTTCCATCTTATGTCAATGTGATGGAGATAAAATGGAGATGAAGGCCTTTGTTTCTCGGGAGTGCTGAAGTGAGGCTCAGCCGCACACTGGAGGAGGGGATTAGCTTCTCAAGGAGAAACATGAAGCGTACAGGAAAACCCTCCATGCAAGATAATAGATAGTGTGATCAACCAGGCAGAGAGATACTATATTGGATGGAGATTAAAGATGCTGAAAATATGAAGTTAGCTATTGCTCGAGTCGACTACTGGAAACATTTGTGTGCATGCACGCACTCATGCTTCAAGCTCCTCTTTGGTAATTCCACAGGCATTTCCCAGAGGGTCTCATGCCTGTCTTTGAGATCAAACCTTGTTGGCAAAGCGACCATAAAACGATATGTCAGTCAGCTGTGGTAAAGGGTTGCCTGCTTGGCTGTGATTGATCTGCCAAGGTTTCTTTATTCCCCTCGAGACTCGATACCTCCAGGTTTTAGATTCAGCAGTTGCCAGTGCTGATGGATATCTGGGGCTTCTGCTTTGGAATAGTACCACATTATAGCTCCCTTTTTTCCTGACCCATTTGCACCCAGTGTGGCACATTCAGCAGCACATGGCCATAACATGGAAGCCAACATGCTGCAATATCTCCTCAATTCCCTCTAAGCTCCAGTTCCAGGAAGTGAAGGCAGAGCTTTGCCAGCCAATCACAGCGAAGGACACCCAACTCATTAAAAGTTAATGAAACCTATAAACGTGGTGCGCCAGCGATTCATTTAAACCCCCAATCCAATCTCCTCTCCCAGCAAAGGC